AGGTGTCGGGTTGGGGTGGGGTGGGGTGGGGTGGGGTTTGGGTCCATATTTCTAACTTGATTACCAAATCAGTTCGGGTTCGAGTTAGGCGAGTTGAAGCCAAGTTAATTTCGGGTTGGACTTGAACTCGACACGAGAACTCATTTTGACACCCCTGCCATGATATTTCATAGCCAGATTTTTCATGTAAAATTTTGATGTCTTTTGCAATTTTTTTTGTTATCAACTAGTATTTGATCTTCATGAAAAGCTATCTAATAAAATAATTCTCTCTATCATCATGAATTTCCTAGCGCATGACAACAACTATTCCCATTTCATAAGTTAATATATCATCTTCTAATTAACAAGGCTAATACCCTTTATGTTTTCTACATTAAACCAAAAATATATATGCATAACCAACAGCATTTCTGACAAATTTCTGCTACTATATAAAGATAACTTTTAAATACTGAGCTGCCAAACAAGCCCTATGTCATTTACACAACAAAGTTCTGTTTCTAATTATTTCATTATACTACGGCATAGATAGAATAAAGAGTAAAATCTTACTGAATGGTGCTGGAGATGCTCTCTTCGGCAATTGTAGCATCAGTTGCCGGCGGCAGCCTCTTTTCAAGGGACTTGGGTATGTCAAGGTCATCTTGAGCACATCGCTGCTGCGGGTGTGAGAGAAGGATGCAAATTTGGCGAAAAAGGACTCGAGATAGGCCTTGTCCGCTCTCAAATATGTAGCCTTCGTACTCGCTGACGTGCTCGAGGGCGTCGACCAGTACATCGTATACCTTCTGTGGGCAGTTCTCAGGGCCTGGCTTGTCATGGAGATATAGGACATCCAAGGTGAAGACCTTTTGGTTCACTGGCCATTGATGCTGTGGAAGAATCGATGATCTGCAGTAGATGAGTATCTGAAACCAGCATGACCAACTTGATGTTAATAGTGTTGTCTTCTTCAATGAGTAATGAATAAATAATGTTTATGGATGTTTGCTGGTCTTACAATGAAAGAAATGAAGTGTAATATGGGAGAAATTATTCTGCGCGGAGGCCGGACGCAGCTCTCTACGTCCGGAGGCGAATTAGATGCAGCCACGTCAGCGGTACCGAGCCGTGCGAATGGGTGATGTGGCGCATTTTGATTAGTCTCCGGACGGCATTCGGCGTCCGCACAGAATAATTAATGGTAAAAGCTATATGTACTACAATGAAAAAAAAGTGTTTTTTAAGTTAATATAAGGGATGGTTTTTATATTGAAATGAATTTAACTTAAAAAAAG